ATCTCAGCTTGTGTTTCAATTTCCAGATACATTTGATTTGATAAGATTCATGATGGTCAGTTTCAGAATTTCCAATGAAGGAGACCATCGTATTGGTGTCAGATTTTGTAGCCCTAGGGTGCACGCTTGCAGGAGTAGGGCAGGTTTGGGTGATGGCGTTAAACTCTTGAATGTAGTCCTCGTGTTCGTTTTCTTTTAGCTGATCTCTACGTTCTATGATTTCTTCAGTGTCGTAGATCATGGACGCTATTTGTTCGATTGTTTCGTAGTCAGTTTCTGCCAGATCGATTATACTTGGTTCTTCTTGAGTAATAATCTCAGGATTTTCAGTTTCTAAAATTGCTGGTTCTAGAATATGCAGTTCGTAAGTGAGTGGCTGGTTAACATCAGCCTGATGATTGATATTTTCAGAGTCGCTTGGCATGGGAGCTAGGAGAAAGCTTGATGAATCAATGTTGAGAAGATCCTGCATTTCTGTGTTTTGCTCGGTTTCAGGAAGGAGATAAATATTCACGTTGACTTGGTCAAGGGAGGGGATTTCTTGACAGGGTTCAGGGCATTGTGGATCCTCTGGTGTGTCATGGTTTGGATGGGGAGGAGGTTGGTTCTCCTTATTTTCATCGTCCATACTAAAATAGATAGAAAACGATGATAATAAATTTTTGAAATATTTAGTTAATAATTTGAAAATATTTTAGGTTGTAAAGCAGATGTGTGTGACAGTTTGAGATGGTCGAAAGAAACAAACGGGGTTAGAGAATTTAAAATTTAACATTTTGGATTGTTTTGTTCAAATGGAGAAGAAAATTGAAAATTAGATTTGAGGATAATTATGGTTAATTGCAGTAATTATTTAGAAAAATGCAAAAATGAAAAGCAGTCGATTTATCGATTTTCGTAAATTAAAATGAGATTTTATGTAAAGGGATTGAAGTTTTAATTGGCTTAGTTTCTGAGTTATGATCAAAAGTATTAAGTTTGGTTGCAATCAGTTGAATAAAATATAGTATTTTATTAATAAAGATGATATTTATGTCGAAACTATTTTTTAAATGTTTGAGGTTTCATAGGTGTTTGTAATTAGAAGGATATAGGAGTTGGGAAGAAATTTGTTAAAAGTTTTAGCTAAAAGTATGCTTTGAATGGAGATTTATCATAAATTGCTGAATTTCAATTTGTTTAAATTAATTCCAATCAGTATTGGACTGTGAGGTTTTAATGAGCCATAAATGGAAGTTAAGTGTAAAATTAACGTAAAATCTTATCTTGAAAAGAATTGGACTTAAGTTTTAATTCATATAGAAATGTGTTTGATAGTAAAATGAGCAATTTAGCGATTATCTGAAAGGTTCAATTAAGGAAACATCATTTAAACGTAAATTAACCTTCTTTAAGAGTTAAAAGAATAGAAAAATGAGCGATTTAGTAGCTTGGTAAATGGAAATGCAATGATATATTTCAAGGAGGAAAATGTTTAACTGTAAGGTAAAATTGTGAATAATAGTTTCAATATTTTATGAAAACGATCGATTTTAGGTATAAAAGAGTGGAAATATATTCAATCCAAGGAAAGAAACGTTAAACTCTAACTAAAATTTAAAATAATGATATCAATCTTTAAAATTTGTAAAATAAGGTGTTCTGAAGTATCTGAGAGAAGAAGAATGAAAGAAAAGGTGTTGGAGATTGGTAAAAAAAAATATGAAGTGTGTGCTAAAAATGAAACTTTAGTTAAGAAAAATAATGATATAGAAGAAATATTAAGACATTTCACCTTATTAGTTCACTCAATTTCACAGATTTAACGTGTGTATTGGTTCAAAGATAATTTCAGACTGCGCTTTTGCGAGTGTCAAAGTGTTGTAAAAGAAAAGTAGCAGGTGCATAGGGTGTCACAAAAAAAAATATTTAATTAAAATGTACGGTTTTGTTATTTATTTCGTCTTCATCCTCTGAATCAGTTTCAGATTTATTTACTGCCATTGAGCGCGTTACGCGCACAAAATTTTCATTTTTTGATTGGCTATCTTTTTTCTTTGACAGGGTGTGTGGAGTTAATATTTTTTGCGGCTGCATTTGTAATGAATCGGGTGTATTAGTTGAATGTTGTGACATATGGGTTATATTCGTATTGTTAGTATTGACGTTTCTCACGAGCTCTTCAGACTCATCCTGACTTTTTATATCAAATAAAGGTTCATTGTTCGGCAGATCGAGTTTAGAAAATTTTCGTAGTTCTGTATAATGGTTTTTATTTAATAGCTCAAACTCGTTGATTAAGATATCACGTACTGACTGGGGGAGGGTTGAAAAGGTTGGATCAAGGGGTGAATATTTATTTATATCGTTATAAGAATATACAGTTGTGAAGCTGTCTCCTAGGCGGCGGATTAAAGCGCTTGTTGGCTTGATGTCCATAATGACACATGGGTCTTGAGAATATAGAGATTTAAGTGGTCTGGTAGATCCTGCTATTATTTTTCTATCTTTAACAAAACAATAATCACCAATTTTAAAATTTGGTGTTGTTTTGTTAACATTATTCTTAATGTTATCATTAATTTTTTTCCAATAATGTGCATTTTTTATGATTTCTAAGATTTTTAAAGTTTCTTCCTGTTTTGCTTCTACTTGAGCTTTTATATTTTCTAATAAAGGATAAATTTTATGGGGCGGTCTGTCTGTTAAAGCTTTTTCCGCCATGATTGATGTTTCTCCATGTAGAATTTGAAGGGGGGATAGATTAGTAGGAGGTATACCTGTTGAGTTAAATTGTTTAATTAAGATTGGGAGAATATCTAACCATTGGTATTCTTCATGGGTTGTTAGGGTTTTTTTGAGGCAATACTTTACTTTTTTAACATAAG